TTTTGCGTTCGTTTTGATGGATCTCTTGAGAGGACCACTCGAGTGACGGTCTGTTGTGTCCGGAAGTCATGAACAGGAGTTCCGTCACAACCGTCTTCGGCAGCCATCTCTTGTGGCCATCGATTCGAAGCAACAGTTGTCTCACGTTATCGAAGACTATGAGAGCTCTCGAGGAAACGGACCGATAGTTAGACACCTCTTGTGGTAACGACTTCTTGACGATCGCCGCCAACGCTTCCAACACTACTTCCGGACACTCTTCGCACTCATCCATAGCCAACAGCTCCTGAAGAATACATTTTGTCATCTGTTGGACAATAGTTGACAACTGAGTGGTCGTCTCGCAGACCAACACTTCCGCCACTAATGTCTTCAATGGACTCATAATTGGAGACAATTTGTGGCAAACATTGAGACAAATGTCAAAACAAACGAAGACTTTGTTTACAAACAAAACACTTACGAAAGAAATTATGCAATGCGTTCGCAAACAACGTTACGATCACTGGAGGGGTGTTTTGTATTACCATTTCGGGGAAGTTAACCAACTTTTTCATAACTTTATCCCAAACCCCCCCTCAATGGGTGTCTACCACTGAACCCCACAATCATTTATACATTCAAATGAATACAAATTCACAATTGAATTGATTTTAATCGCAATTTATACACAAAAACAAAAGCAAAACCAAAAAACAATAGTTTTATCGACAAAACCAAACACTAATTAAGCGGCGATTCAGTGGCGCCGACCTCTTGCACGTCATTATCTGCGGCCACGCGTTCGCCGCCATCGGCGTCCATGTCCTCCAGAAAGTGCAACAGATTGTCGTTCTCGAAGGTCGGGAAGTAATAGTCGGGCGAATCGTATTCGCACGCATCGGGCGCCTGACCCGCGTGTCCGCTGAACTCCAGGTGCACCGCGAGGGCCGACCTATCGGCGCACTGTTCGCCGCACTTATGGCACCGGTTCTGATGGACAGCCCGTCGGATATAATTAACACATTTGATGCGCGCGTAGAAGTCCTTCATCGACAGCACCGTCACATCCATATCGAAGCCGTGCGCAGACATCAGGTGCCGCTTAAGCCTATCGACGGGCGCCGACAGCTCGCAGAACAGGCAAATGCATCGCTGATCCCTGTCCTCATCGCCCGGTGCCGACCAGTCGTTCCACTCGTCCACCGCCTCGTCGTCGTCACCATCATCGCCGCCATCAGCGCCTACATCCACGTCGACCTCTCGTTTCACTGCACGCCAGTCCCTCTCGGGGCTCAAGTAGTTAATCAAATAGTACTTATCGTAGCGCCGGTTGTCCGGGTCGACCATCTTATGGCCCTTTTTCCGCATGTGTTCCTTCAGTATAGCCCACGACCTGAACGTACGCTCGCAGTACAGGCACTGGAGGCGCGACACCTTCGCCTCCAACACGTCCAGCAGTTCCGCACTGAAGACGATGTTGTCGGCTGAGCCCACGTGGAAGTTGTGGTCATCGGACAGATGGCGGAACAGATTCTCGCGGTTTTCGGTGAAGACTTTGCGGCAGAAGAGGCACTGACGGGAAAAGGAGGTGTCGTTGCGCTCCCGTTCCCACTGCTCGAGCACTCGCGTCAGGCGCTGGGCTTTCAGGCGCTCCCGAAGTGCGGTGTCTTCGGGGAACTGTTGAGCGGATCCGCCGATCATATAATAGGTCTCCGGAGGCGACACATCGTTGGGACCACTGTTTTGGGCACACAATCAGACAGTCAGTCAATGGGTTCAATGGTTGACAGTCATAGAGACCTGTTTGTGGTGATTGTGGCGCAGAAGTGGATCCATTCATCCGAGTCGACGGCCGCCAACTTCTGTCGCCAATAGCGGCAGTACTTCGCGATGTCTTCGCCGATGGCGTCGATGTCTGCGATCACAACCTTATGAGTGGTCAGCAAATGCTTCTGCAGTTCTGGCGCTGTCTTAGACTTTGTGGTCGTCGACGAGTGGTTCCCGACATCATCGACAGGACTATTAGTGGACACACTTTGGCCGCAAACCATACACACGATATCGTTATCATCGGCCGACTCCTCGACGGCCGTTAACTGATCCGACGCACGATCAGTAGTCTTGAGGTACAGACTGTCGATGTGGTCATCGCTTGCGGTGGCCATCAGCTCAAGAGGTCTTCAGATAATTGATCCACACCTCAGATAAATAAATGTTTTTCAAAACTTTTTTGTTTACCTTTTTTGGCTATACTTTTGCCACAAATACTGTGCACTAAAGCGCATTGAAACGCAAAACCCTTTAACTGACACTCAGTTAAGGCTAACAGTTAACCGGTTTTACTACTCGTATCGCAAATCAATTGCCTTTAAATAAGCCGTAATTTACGGACAACTGTTTGAACCGTTGAATGACAACAAAGATTTGAATCTCTGGTCACTGAAGACCTCATTAGCCATTAAATTGTTGGCCGAATGGCTCACAGATTGCCACCGAATGGGAAGCGATTGAAGAGGTTTTCCGTTGAATACTACAGAGAAGTGTTGAGTGCGTGGAAGACAGGCGACGACAATATCACCGCAACTCACGAGTCGGCGATCAACACGTGTGCCGTCGATCATCACCGCAACGGTTCCACGAGAGCTACTGATGATCACGTGATACGCATCGATGTCGACGACAGCGGCGGTAGTGGTGGCCATCAGTCGCCGGCAGACGAGTCGTTGGAATCAATACCCGAATCGCCACTCATTGTCGAGAAGCGGTTCAGTGATAGACAACCGCCGAAGACATCGAAAGGAGTCACAAAAGGCGCCAAAAATCGGTATTTTATTAGCGATTGACTGAAGACTATGTCTAATGTCTCGTGTTTTTCATGGGAACAGCTGTTTGGCCGCAGAGTTCATACACTTCGAGGCGGACGTGGAGTTGGATTCGAGTCAAGCCTTTGTGGACGACATCGAAGACACGCAGAGAGAGCTCCTGGAGATGGGGTCTGACTTGAGTTGTGTTACGAGTCAAGAGGTGGTCGACAGTCAGCCCATCGGACAACTCATCGGTGGTATCGACAGCAGGAGTGCCGAAGACATGAGATCTGTTTACTTGAGATCTATAGCCGACCAGAGAGTGGGTGTCCACCGGAAGTACAAACTTCAGTACAATTACGACACGAATATCGATGTCTACTCTCAAGAGCCCACCGATGAGGAGCTCAAGGACTACGAGTTCGACAGCTTTTGCGTACCAAACGATTGCGTCCTTTTCGATGACAATAGCGCCGAAGAAGTGGACACTAAAGCGGTTGCGGATCAGTCGCCGTCACCGCAGATGACGCTGCGGTCGAAACGCCGCAAGAGATTCAAGAGAATCATATTTAGTCCATAAGTGATGTGATATATTCTACCATTCATTGTCTCATTCATTATCTGTTTGTTTAAGCCATGATTGCATTGATTAGCAAAACATTGATTTGTTTTTATTTGTAATTAATTTCTATATAAATGCAACACTTTTTGTATTGAATTACTGTATAATTAAATCTTAACCATTATTTGAATGAATTGTTGTCAAACACCCCTCAAGTGATCGTAAGGTTGTTTGCGAACTCATTGCATAATTCCTTTCGTAAGTGTTTTGTTGTAAACAAAGTTTTGGTTTGTTTTGACATTTGTCTCAATGTTTGCCACAAATTGTCTCCAATTATGAGTCCATTGAAGACATTAGTGGCGGAAGTGTTGGTCTGCGAGACGACCACTTATAACGTTTTATCGGCATAACTAGCCATCAGTTTTGTGTAGTGAACGCCAATAATGACAAATAATTTGTTGATTGGTTTTGTATTTATTTATTGAATAAAACGTTAGAAAAACATTTGATAAAAACAACACAAATATGGGTTTAACGGTCGGCGCCCGCGCGCCGGGAATGGTAGTCAACGACGTGTTTGTGATGACACTCTCGCCCCTCCTATTCACTTGTTTTTCACTTTTTTGCCCTAAAAAACATAGGTTTCAATTACCAATCAATCAATGCATTGGTTGCCCGAAAACACGTGAGACATACCTTTCCGGTGCTGTCGGCGCGCTGGTAGTGGTTGTGGTGTTTGAGTGAATCGATTTCGTCGGTCTGCGCCGTCAGCTTGTCGTTCATATTCGCCAAGTGTTCAGACATTAGGCTCAGCTGTTGCTCATAGTTAGACACATTGGTGGCCAACTCCTCCCGAAGCTCCCGGACCTCCCGTTCCCTATTCGCCATCTCTTTGGCGCACTGTTGCCTCAATCGGTCGCTAATCG